AAAAAGTGGATGGTTGATTTATATCCATGTCAACTTTTAGCGTATCATTTTTTTACCGTTGTATTTAACCTTCTGAGGTAAATGATAATTGGCATAATATACTTAATAATATATAATATGTACCTATCAAACTCCAATTTCCCTCAAATTCATATCAGGATTATGATATATGCATACCCTGCAGGCTGCAATTGGCTTAAATTGGGAATTTTTACCATAACTTAATTATTTTAATTTAGATGGAAAGGCTAGAGATTATAGTGAATGGGAGGGTAAAATTAGTAACGGTACGTATACATTTATTATTTACAGTTGTAATGTCATTATTATATTTACATAATATTATTATTATTATTACCATTTTTAATTATTTCACATGTTTATGGGTTTTCATCAGTAGTCCATCAACCGTCGACTGTGGAGTAGTGAAAAATGATTTTTATGGCTTGTTTATTAAACAGTATTGTAGTTATTCAAAATAAAGGGCTTGCGTAGTATATATAGGCAATAATCTAACTTTTATTTATGCACCTATGATTTATTATTACTTTTATATTACATACGCACTCTAATTTACTACCTTCTTATATGTATATACAATATTTTTATATATGTAGATAATTAATTATTTAACAAATCAACTCACCTCAATTTTGCTGCAGGCTCGTTATGGGTTATAATTTGATATTAATTAATAACACAATATTAATATATTATGAATACTTTGGAGAAAAAAATTATTATTTTAAACACACATAATATTATATTAGATATGTTTTACATAGTTCATTACGTACGACCACATCGATACATATAGATGCCAATATTGTATAAACATATATATGACACTATAATACTAAATACAGTATGATATTAACACTATCTACTAAATTACTAAAACCTTGAGCAGTGTTGGGTATAACTGTAAACAATTTCAGCCAAATCGGTTCAGTAGTTTTCTCGGTTAGTGAGGTCGTAGAAAACCCCTTACAATTTTATGTACAGTAGAACTCCGATTACCGGACTAATTAATGTCAAGGGTGGTCCGGATAAGCAAATATCCGGATGATTGGCGTTTGGATAATCGGAGTTCTACTGTAATAATATAGGTAATACAAAATTAAAATTTTAAATTAAATGAATGTTCGATGGCCACTTGAAAACAAATTTTGGCCAATTTGGCTCATTTTTGTATAGTTCTTAATTGTTTGAATAAGTTAAAAACGGAAAGACCCCAACCTTGAAAATGTTGCCCTCACACAAGAATTTTGAAATTTATGATGAAAATCGAAAAAAATGTTTGAATGCTGTTTGTTATTCTGGCCGACGAGTACAACTTTAAAAGCAAGCATCGAGTCGTCGCTTTCTGGCCTCAAAGAAAGTAGTTCGCTTTAAAATAAATATGAGAGTTGGATGTATGTAGCTAATATACAAAAAAAAATTATGTACTAAATACTACTTGACCAATAATTCTTGAATTGTTCTTAGAAATATTAGGTAGGTTTAGAGAGAAATTATTTGAACCACTTTCGATTTATACAAATTGCTGTTATATGTGTATCAAATCTGCTGCAGGCAAATTATTTATCTCGTTAAATCAGTTCACAAGGCTGAGGTACAACGACACCTATTTGTCCGTCAACTGAGGTGCACTAAAATACACATTTAAATAGGTAGAATTCTTCTTCTTCTTCTTCTTCTTCCTCAGCTTTTACTGTCCTTGAAGGACTTTCGCTGCCTCTACTACTTTTTTCCAACTATCTCTGTCAATACTGTCTTGTTTATAGCACTTGTTTATATCTTCTTTAACCCTGTCTATCCAGCGCTGTCTAGGGCGACCCCTAGGTCTTTTTCCATTGATTTTTCCTTCCAGAACTTTCTTTAGGATACCATTTGACCTCCATACATGGCCTGCCCACTCAATTCGTTTGCTCTTAAGGTAAGCGTTGATACCGTGTTTTTGATAAATTTGTTGTACTTCTACATTAGTTCTTTTTCTGTATACTTCATTTTCTAGTATAGGTCCATAAATCCTTCCAAGAACTCTTCTTTCACAGCAAGCCATTTTTTCCTCATCTCCTTTAGTAGTCGACCATGTTTCACATGCAAATGTTAGAACTGGCCGTAGGAAACTTAAGTACAGGCGTTCTTTTGATCGTCTAGAGAGGAGCTTTGACTTGAACAATTTGGAACAATCCACTTGTTGGAAGGTATAGTTTTCTACTACTAGGTCCGAGATATCCCTTGTTCCCCTAGTCATGACTAAATATTTGGTTTTATTCTGATTTACTTCTAGACCCATTGGCCTCGCTGCTTTTAACAAATCATTAGTTCTTATCGCTACATCTTGTCGCGTACTGTCTATTATAACTATATCATATGCATAGGCAAGGAGTGTATTATTCGATAACAACTCCATGCCTTGTCGCATTGGCATTGATCTGATCACTTTCTCAAGCGCTAGGTTAAAGAGAACTGGTGACAAGACATCACCCTGTTTGAGTCCTGTGCCGACCTCAAATCTGTCAGATGTACCGTTGCCAAACTTCACTTTGCACATTGTATTCGTGTTGCATGCTTTTATGAGATCAATAAGTTTTTTGGGTATTCCAAATTCTTCTAGGGCCGCCTACAGTTTGTTCCGAACTATGCTATCGTAAGCCTGCTTGAAGTCAACAATGCACATGTGGACATCCTTTCCGAATTCATAAAATTTTTCCATCATTTGTTTGATTGTGAAAATATGATTAGAGGTAGACTTTCCTCTCACAAAACCACTTTGATAGTCTCCTATTAAATCTTTTGAATATACCTCTAATCGTCGTAATAATGTCAGGGATAGGATTTTGTAGCATGAGTCTAAAGCGCAATTCCCTGGTAATTGCTTGTATCCATAGGATCGCCTTTTTTGTGTATGGGACAGATAACGGCTGTTTTCCAATCTTCAGGTATTCGGTTAGTATTCCATATTTCTTTTAGTAGCCCGTGAATTTTGGTCACAAGTTGTTGAGTACCAATCTTTAATAGCTCAGAATTGATATTATCTTCACCGGGGGCTTTGTTGTTTTTTAGTGTCGCGATTAATCCTTTACTTCCTCGCGGTTAGGTTCCTCTACAAGAGGTTGTGCCGTATGATAGATCATATTTACACTTTCTTCCCTAACTCCTTGATTGACATTTAAGATGTTTTTAAAATGCGCTTGAAACTTCTGGATGATGTCTTCTTCATTCGTTATCAAGTTTCCATCGTTGTCCTTGACCATACGAGTTTAAGCTTTAAATCCTTCCTTTATCGATCTGCTTTTTTTGAAGTACAACCTTGGGTTGAGCCTATGTTCTTCTATTTTTTGAATAAGTTCTTTTTCCGCTTCTCTTTTTTCCTGTCTTAATATTTTGCTTGCAGCTTTTTTGTTTTTAACAAATTCTTCTATATTGTCATTAGATAAGTCTTGTATCATTTTTAATCTTGCTTCTACGCATCTTTCTATGGCTTCCTTACACCGTTCATTAAACCACGAATTCTTAACTTTGAATGTGTTTTCTTTTTTAAAAACTTCAGCTGATTTGTTTATTGAATCTTTAATTATGTTCCAAGTTTCTTCAAGGTTTTGCTCTGTATTTTGAGATGTTTTCATTAGTTCATTATTTAGTATTCCTCGGTATGATTTTACTTTCTCTCGATCCTTAGTGTTTTCTATTTCCAGGCGGGTTCTACCTTTTAGTTTTTTCTGCTTCCAACTATTAGCCAGTTTGGTTCTAAATGATGATATGACCAGGTAGTGATCTGTGTCTCCGTCAGCTCCTCTATAACTTCTAACTTGTCTAATACTAGATCAATATCTCTTATCTATAAGTATATGATCGATCTGACTTTTAGTTTTTCCATCTGGAGATACCCAAGTTTGTTTGTAAATTTCTTTACGTTGAAACTGGCTCTACTTATAACTAATCCTTTGGTTGAGGCAAACCTTATTAACCTTAGTCCGTTATTATTGCTTTCACTTTGCATACTTTCTTTTCCTATAGTATGTCTAAAAGCATGCTCACGCCCTACTTGAGCATTTTGATCTCCAACTAGAATTCTTATGTAGCTTCTAGGTATCATTTCGTATACTCTTTCTAGATTATCGTAGAAATAGTCTTTATAATCGTTATCAATTGGTGCATAACAGTTGATTATTGCTATATTAGAGGTTTTTTCTTCAATTATTATATAGCATAATCGATCATCAACTGCTTCGAATTTCTTTACTAGTTTTACTAAGGTTTCTTTTACAATAAAACCCACTCCGTATTCTTGTTTTCCATTACCGCTTCCACTATAAAATATTGTCATGTTATCTGATTTGAGATGTCCAGATCCTAGCCATCTCACTTCTTGGAGGGCAACTAAATCTACATAATATTTCTTGACTATACTAGTAATACATTTTAGTGCTCCAGGTTTATATAAAGATCTAATGTTCCATGTTCCAAATCGAAATACTCCAGGTTTTCCAGGTTTAGTTTTTTATTTTCCAAAAGATCTGTCCAAGGCTTAGTAGTAGAAGGTTTCTTAACAATGTTTTTTTACTAGGACGGGTCGTTAGGGCTGTAGCCCATAAGCGCAAAATATGACCCAAACGCAACCCAAAAGCGCAAAAACAAATAACCCAAAAGCGCAAAAAAAAATTACCTTTTTAATAACCCATAAGCGCAAATCAAATTTATAAAAATAAGCGTATTTAGTTAAAATTTTAGTTATTATTAATATTAAATTATGCATTAACACTTTAACAGTGATATTAATTATATATAGTTCAAAAAAATCAAAAAATCAGTAAAAAATAAAAATATAATTTTGAATATCATTTTAAATTATTTAAACAAGTATCAAAAAATCAAAAATCATTAATAAAAAATCAGTAAAAAATAGAAAATATAATTTTAAGTATTATTTTAACCTAACTTTAAACGCCTTAAATTTGAAACTTGAAACCTACTGTTTTCAAGTATTCCAATCAAGACATTTTTTTTTCTTTATACAAGGTCCGAGTTTTTGTATTGGAGATGACTTTAGATTTTCGATTCGTAGATTTTTGACCATTTGATTGTAATTTTAAATAAACTTCTGCTTGATGTTCTTTAATCACTTCAATAAAATTATAAATAGATGGGTGTAGGTTATAAAATTGATCTTTCAAATGACGGTGATATGATTCTGGACCATTGGTAGTCCTTGGCTCGTTCGAAGGTGGCTCATCCCAGAGATGTGGTGGATATCTGCTGTCATTTTCAATAAAATTCGCTAAAATATAATCTGAGAATGCTGATATCTTTTGATTGTCCGGAGCAATAGAAAATAGTTCATAAAATGCTTCAAAAATTTCAGTACACGGTAAAAAAGCCAATCCAAAGAAATACTTTAACCAATGGGAAATTTCTGATTCATTTTGGTCGTATTCAATTTTAAGTCCCAATTTTGTAATTTGTCTATACCAGGCTTGCCCGAGATGAAATCGGCAACATTTAATTTGTGCATTTGGAAATATACGCAAAACGCCATTATGTGCAGATAGTTCAAAATCCAGTAGTATATTTTGAGGTTTTAATTCTTTCTTACATAATGTTTTTATTAAATGCCACATTTTTTCATAAATATCAGTTGTTTTGGATGGTAACAGACAATATACAACATGGACGTAAATTGATTTACGTAGAACATGAATCATATAGAGTTGTTCAAAATGAGCGGGACAAACGTAAAATGTACCATCGCCTAAAATAGTATGACTATTATTGACTAAATATTCTAAATTATTGTTTGTCGTGAATATTACGATTTTCGACTCTTCATCTACATGGTAAAATGTTTTATTACGATGTGTAGTTAAACCATTGGTTTTTAATTGTTGTATGAGTTCGAATAATGAAGTAGGTGCTGCGGGAATTATTTTTCGACGTTCTCTATACATGGATTTTCTTATACTAGACATATCGTTGTGTAATAGTTCTGTAGTTTCAACCGTCATCAGTTCACGACGAATAATTTTATTTGGTCGCTCCGAAATACATTCAGTCGCCTTTCGTTTGCAATTATTACTAACTATTTGTCGCTGAATATCCCGATTCTCCACAGTATTATGATTATGAGATATATTTTCATTTTCCGTCAAAATATTAGATATTTTAGAATTAGTTTGAATAGTAGAAGTACATTGTCTTACCATACATCGCCAAGATATATCTCCGCTTGCCATTACTCGCTGATGTCTGTACTTAAAATCATTGTACACAATACACAATTTATTTGTGTTAGTTAATGTAAATGACATTTTAATAATTAATTTTTGAAAACTTATAATTTTAATTTTAGTCAAAATCGGACACATAGACAAACGGACATCGAATTTCAATTAAAAATAAAACGGCTCAATAAGTTATATAAGTCATATCTATATACTATATAGGCACCTGTGTAGTTGCAAAGCTATATAGTTATCAAAAATCCTATTTAATGTAAGTTTATACTGTATACACTATTATATATTATATTGTGTATTATAGACTATAGTTATCTTAAATGATTATCAACTGCCATCGTAATGTGTAACGATAAGATACAGACAAATGCAATAACCGTCGCGATGCGTTGCTGCAATCTGTCGTGTTACGGATAAGGCCGCGTACCGGCGTACCTATTCATGGAAAGCGTAGAGCATCACGCTTTATGTCAGTAAAATATTGTATCAAACAATTCAATTTTCTTTTGCGCTTTTATCCCACTTCCAATGTACAAAAGCGCAAATTCATTTTGCGCTTTTGATTCATCGAAAAAAAAGGTTGATTTGCGCTTTCGGGTTTCACCGGTCGTTAGCCTGTCGCTAAACCCCCAACCTGGAGGACCAGACTACCCCAACTAATTAAAGTCAGGGTAGGGCTACTGCAGTGCATTTATTGAAGTACACTGGGCGATGGGAGTGCCACTTTCCCTACGCCTCATTAAATAGGTAGAATAGGTAGATTAATTTTTCAACCCCTATATGTAACTAAAAGTAGTTCATACATGATTGATTTTTTGGCTCAACAAAGAATAATATTTTTTGATCTATTTGAACGGTTGCCATTGGTTATATATTATAAACCTAACTACCTATTTTTAAAGATATTAGTAAAAATATGGCATATACATTTTTTTACAAATATAATTATAATTATAATTACACATTTTATTCATATTGTACCTATTACTTGTATTGATTAGTGTTCCGCAGCGGAGGCAGTGAAAGTAAGTAATTGTTGTCAATGTTATATGATTATTATTGTTTTAAATATCATTTTTGATATAATTAATGTTTAAATTGTAAAGCATTTCTGATTCATGTATATTTATTACTGCGCATCTAAATAAAAAATATTACGCTAATAAAGTAACAATAAATAAATACCAATCGAAGCTAATGCATATTGTTTCAGATTTTGTGAAGAAGTATATACATGCATGTCATACACGTAATAATAATTATTAAACTGGTTACAATACATAAATCTGATATTTAATTAGAAATTTATAATTCATTAAAATACGCACTAAGTAGAAATAATTGGCTCTATAATTAGGGGAGATTTAAATTGGTTAGACCCCTTTGGAAATTCATGAGTATTCTAGCTGATTTATTTAAAGTTATAAGATATCTAAGCATGTGAATGACAGTTTGGTATTTGTTTTATTTTTGTAAATTATTTGTATTTCAATATTTATTAAAATTTTAAATCAAACGTTTACAATACGCATTAACCTAGTTTTTAATGGTCCATTTTTGGAAACTATTAAAATTTCACTTTTTTTTTAAACGTATTAATTTCAATTTTCAATATTAATATGAATGTAAATTATTTTATAAACGATTAGTTTATATCCAACATTTCCCTATAAAACCGTGTCACACTCAAACCTACTGAAATATTTTAAAAAAATAACATGACAATTTTTGACTATGAAATTGACTAACTAAATCCACTGTGAAAAAAGACGCCAGTGTTTCCATTAACACCACTGTAGTGTACTTTGTTATTACGATTTAAGATACCTAATTTATATAGGTATATCTTAAATCATGGCTAATAAACGTTTTCTCACGGGTAGCGATTGCTGTAATTTCTTAAGGAGACCAAACTGATAACTTTCTGAAATGAGTCTCACGATTGGCCACACTCTCTGCTGCAGTCGCTAGGGTTGCTACTTTAATCGATATATAGTGTGGGGATTATTTTCGTTTTTTATGTTTTTTTTTTGGAAAATATATGCATCCTGAACTTTTTTAAATTGTATAGTTTCTGCGATTACGTATTTATACATTTGTATATTTTATAAATATTCAACATTTTTAAAAGACAAATTGATTGTAAAGATACGACTCGGCACATAACGATCATTCAAGAAGCCGCGTGACACTTGTGTATAGTGTATTAAATAGTATCGTGCTCAGACGTATTGTGACACAGATATATAGATACAGAATAATCAGATACAATGGTAACAAATCGTATAATCTAATTAGAATAATAAAGATAAATGTACATGAAACTTACGCTTATGGGCATGTATAAATGTGTATCGACAATCGTACAAGCTATACAATATTGAAAGTCGCCCATAATTGAGAAAAATGCATATATTAACCCATAAACGCAAAAAACATGAATCATCCCAACAGGTACTCCACGGGTCAGTACTGACTCAGTAGCAACCCTGGTGAGTAGTGACTGCATGGTAGGCCGTGGCAATTCAATAGTCCGACGCATTAAGGAACGTTTTTTTCATGAGTTTAGCATCCTTATTCTAGCCTCCATGTCGAGGCATAAGAGTCACGAGGAGGTATATAGAGGGTTTTTGTTTGATTTTGGTGGTCCAATAAGACACCTTTTCAATATTGACGACCCCCTAATATATTTATGTTAAAAAATTATGAATTTAAGTCAAAACTGATTTTGTTTTTATTTTTTAGATTCGTTATTGGTCTCGCCAGACGAATATTGTAAAAATATCGATAAACCTGATGATGAAGCATTATTTTGATATTTATTGTATTATGTATTAATGAAGTCTCATATCATCATTATAATATTATAAACCTTTTTTAAAAAAATATACGTGCACATGTAATTAATATATTTGGTATTTCCTACTTTAAATTTCACAATTGACAAATAATTAATAAATCTACATTTTATATCAGTTAATTTTGTATACAAATATCTATGGTATGGTACTCGGAAAAAAATGTGTAGCATTAAAAATAATGAGTTCAAAGTTGTATACGTATTACCCACCTCGAATTGTGATTTGTGACTTCTATGGAAGATCTCCTCACCCACGCGCAATCAACCCAACAAACATCATACGCTCGTACAACATTTGCACTAATGTCTAATAGTAAATAATTATTCTATGGATTATTCAATAATACATTTCAATTAATAGAAAAAATGATATTTAGTACTTATAACTGTAGAAATTATTAAATTCAGAATAACGTTTGTAATTTTTGTACTGATCAAATTTATTTTTGATGAAGTATTAAATAGGCTGGACGCTAGAAATTGTTCAGAAATTATTAGAAAAATGTATTCAATATATTAAAATATGTATAGTGTATTACACTCTGGTATAATATGTTTTCATGTATAATACAAAATATCTCCTTACGTTGGAAAAATCCGTAGTATTAATTGTTGGCATAGCTGGCCGAAATCAATTATTTCAAATTTTTACGTGATTTTTCAAACTTCTAATGTTTGATTTGATTTTTGGATTTTTTAAATAGGTGTACCTAAAGACCATAATATGCAATTCTAGAGATTTTTTGTATCACTTAAGGAGTGTCCTGTGGTGATATAAACTTTTGTTTTTTTCTAATGAGAACCCCCTTTTTTTAACTGAAGATTATTTGGCGGTTAATTTTTTTGAGAATTTTGATGTATTGAAATTAAAATTCTAACTAGCAGTTTCCTACTTATTAAATATAATGTTTATAATATTGTTTGTAATAGTGAACGGGGTTATTATATCTATCAAGTTATTATAGACGTAATATAAAATAGTATATCATTTGTAAGAGTTTGGGTTTTTGATTCCCAAAAACTACTCACGAATCAAGGGGTTCACTTGATTTGTGACCTATAAGCCGCACCGCATGATGGCCCTAGGGTCAAGTCGGTGGAACTTATAGGCTTTAAACATACAGTTACTAATGAAAGTAAGAGATTTAAATATAAAAGTGTTGGAGACTTCCACTAGGTTGGAAATCGTGGTGTCCGGGTGCCATGATTGATGAAACGTGTGGTCCGGTTCGTGGTTGTGGAAAAAGTCATTGCAGAGCCGTTTCTTCGTTCGGCCGTTGGTGGCTCCGTCGGAGAAGTCGTCAAGAGGGAGTTGACCAGTGTTGTCACGTCATGAACTTTTGCACAGTAATTATATTTGGGGAAATGGTTGCCCTGTTGGCACGCCGGCGGCCGCGATAGCGCCGCTTAACGGCGACGACGGGCAAGCAGCTGTGACATCGAAGCGATGGACATTGCTTGTGTGGAGGGTCGGGGGACAGGTATTGCATAACAATGTTGTTTTTCATAATAATACCACAGTCTGTATGAAAACAGATAGCTCAATCAGGCGAAAACGATGGGGACAAAAATAAGATTCGATTATCAATTTTCGTGATAATAAAACTTCTACAAAACCACACCTCATAGGACGTAATATGGAAACTTCCTAAACTCTTTGTAATCTTAGGTCACTTCAACAGCCACAACATAGAAGAGGTGCTCTCACACCGATGATCGCGGAAAATCAGTAAAATAATTTTTAGACGACGAATCTCTTTTTCTTTTCATCAATAATGAATCAACCAGACACAAAATTGCCAACCGAACTCTCTCAACGATTGACCCTTCCATCACAAATTCTAATTTAGAATAAAATTTAGCAGTAATGACCACTGACCAATAAGCATCCAATATTTTAACAATTTCTACTGCAATAATCAAAGAACTTACAAAAATCTCTAAAACCCAAACTGGGACCTCTACTCTGAATTAATTAAACATGACCTCAGCAATATTCCACTAGATATCAATCTATGTGATATTCTTGAGAAAATTGATTCAAAAGTTAAACAATTTACTGACACTATTTCAGACGCAATCAGTAAATATTTGGACTTAAATATAAAAAAAACCAAAACTTCTTATTACTAAAAATAGCAAAACTTTTTCATGGCAAAAGTTTACTTAGTCCTGCATAAGCCAAAAAGCAACTCCGAGAATAATATGGTTCAAAATATATTCTATACCAAATGTAACAAGTTTAAAATCGTTTCCGATGTACTGCACTACAACCAACAAAAAATAATCTCCACTCCCAATGCCTCAGAATTCTTTGATAATTTCTTCCAAAAAATAACAGCAGTGATAACAATAATCCAGACTTCATCACACATAGATTTTCCCGCAATAATGTATCTGAAATTTCATACACTCAAAAAATATGTCAATTCAACTTAGGTCTGGACATATCTGAACCCATCTCGCTACTTCTAACTTGTAACATCAAGAGGCCTGACAACATACCTTACATATTTCTCAAAAATTTACCAGTAATAGGAAACCGAATACTTCTTCCTATCCTATCCTACTCAATGGTCAGATGCTAATATTTAATCCCCATTCCTAAACTGGACAAATCGAAATTACAGATCAATTTCGTAAATTAGCATATAGGGCTTTTGACTCTTTTTGGCTTTTAACAAAGTACCGGACTGGAATCAGGGTTCAGTATTCAGTCAGTTGGTATACATTTACACCGATATAATGACTGATAGCTATCTGCTATAGGCACTTTATTATATAGCTAGTGACTTTACTCTTTCATTACATACGAAAAATAACTAGCTCAAATATAATTCAAACGAAATTATCTTTAGCAGTTCTCACTGCTCACGGTCAGCTAGTTAAACGGATTCCACTCTTTGGCACATTAAACGGTAGACAGGACACATAGTGAGTCTATACAATTGCAAATTAATAAATCAACATTTAAAGTACCTATGTTTGATTTAAAGTAGTGTTTTTTATCCTTACACACACACACATACACACACACACACACACACACACACACACACACACACTAAAAGATACCCCTCATTTTGTGATATCATTAAAAAAAAAAATATTTAAAAAAAATTATGATACTGAAATTTAAAAACAAAAACATTACCTCTTGGGCACCTTAAGAGGTATTTTGAGATTTTATTTTAAAAGAATTGCAAGTTATGAGCATAATCAATTTACAATGTAATAATAATAATACATATATTTTATTATTACAATTTGTTAATTTATTATCATTTTGGTAACACTGATTTCATGAACTTCCACCGACATCATATTATCGTCAACTATAATCTTAATGGGGGCCGCGTTTAGTCATTCACTCCGGTGTACCTACATTTAAATAATTTTTCATTGCAATTTTTCAGTGTTTGTTAAATTTTCCTTTTGTAGTTTGAGCCACATGTTAAAGCATTTGTGTATAGTGTTTACCTACATAAGATATAGGTCATGGGGATGGGAGGTTAGGATGGAGTAGAACTTCGCAAATGACAAAACATTGTTAGTACGTTTTTAAGTAGACGACTATTTTTTAGATTGGTTTACATGATTGCTTATGGCTACACATGTTCTTTTGTTCTAAATTTAAAACCAAATGTTGTTTTTACCTTTTTGGGTATTGACACAGTATTTTCTAGATTGGTTTACTCAATTGTCTATGGATACACATTGCACATGTTTGGTGAATAACCCTTATAACATCAGAACTAGAAAACATTTTACATCATTTTTATATTCGACGCTTTGCATATTATTCAATTGTTGTATCTACAAACATGGTCAAAATTATTAATATGTTAGCTTTATTTTTTATTTTAAATTTTATTGGTTGTATATGCCCTAGTAAGTATTTATATACCTTCCTTACTTTTCTTGATACACCACAGATCAGTGTTTGACAAGTTCCTTAAAAAATCGAATGCTTTCCTTTGTTGTCCCTTTAATAAATAAACGAGTTCCTTTTTTAGTTCCAAATAAAAAAATATTCTTATTTAATCATCAATATTTTTTTTCATATTTATACTTAGGTTCTTAATTTTTAACTATTCATATATACATACCTCCAATTACATTCATAATAACCTATTTAATTTAAGAATATAATATTGAATTTTTTCTTTTATTTATCTATATTTATTATTTTTAAACAGAATAAATTAATGTTATATTATATGATTGACATCAATACTCGATAACGATCACTAATTAGCAATATACACATTAAAAAAAATATATTTTAATCTAAATTATTTAGTATTTACGTATCTGTGTTAAATGGAACTCGAAAGGAACGTACAATTTCGTTTTAACAAAAAAAAAGAATTTGTTTATTTTCTCGTTATTTTTTTTTTTTTAAGTGATTGATTCCTTTGGAACTCGTTTCTTCCAAACACTGCCACAGATTAATATTAATGGAGAAATATAGGTTTAAAAATATAAAATAAATACTTATTTTAATTGTAATTTATAAACTGTTCTACTAAACAAATAATAATCAAATAAAATTATTTTAACAGAATAACATTTTCTACAAAGTTAAATTGTTAACACAATAATCATTTGAATCCATAAGCAAGCACAATATTATCAAGATTATTTTTATTTTTGTTAGATTAAAATGTACCTAAAACTGTAGGGTTACTTTATACCACCATAAAGATGTTATTTACAATTTACTTTTTTGGAAATTAAATTATGCAACTATGACATTATTTAATAATATTTAGAAATATATGTTAATTATCTTAATGTGTCCTTACATCCTACTATATATCATAACCCAACCAAAACAAAAGTCATCAATCGAAACCATAGTATAAAACTATAAATATTTTAAAATTTGAGTATGTTAGGTATACCAAATACATTTGAAAGGCTTGACATCCTCTTGAAAGCCAACAATATTACAACCTCATAGATTTTTTTAATATAATATTTTGTACTAACCATTAATTATTTTGGATCAAGGTCTTAAATATACAATGTGTGTGCGTAAGTATTATTATATTTTATTTCACAACATGCCTTTACATTACAGTGTACATGCAGTGAATATAATTATAAGTATATAAGTATAAGAATAAGTCTAAGTACGGCTTTAATCTTAGTGCGTTCACTCTTCAAGGTATAATTATTCTTTATGTATAAAAGTAAGTTGATTAGGTATTTTAATAGTATGCGAATGTAAAAATGAATTAATTATTGTGAAACGTTATTATTAGTTGCGTTGTTGTAATATTGTGATTTCTACACTTTTTTTTCAAATATACTAAGAAAGGATTTTCCAAAATTCGACCTACAATAGGGAAAAAGTGGGGTTGAAAGAATACGACAGTCTATCTATCAAACAATATTTAATTTAGATATACAATATTGGTATTAAAATGAGTGAAATAAAAATAAAAATAAAAATAATTTATATTGATATAATTATAACAATTTAGACTTTTCGATGGCAATTAATACATCAGCTCGATGTACTGGCTAATACAGTATAATCTATGGTTAATCGGGCATGTTTGTTTTTTTTTGTTTATATTACCCGGAACACGTTGGATAATTATTTAAAATATTATATTTATTCAATTTCATTGTTTTTTTTTTTTTTAAAAATGTCATCGATTGAAGATATTTTTGTCAATGGAATGTTGACACCTCAAATAGTTGTACCAATTATCGGTGATGGTGCCTGCCTTTTCCGTTCAATATCATTTCATTTCTTTAACACTCAAGAAAGATGTCAGGAGATCCGAAATACAATTGTTTTTTATGTGTCTGATAATTGGAATAACTTTATTGCTATGTCTTACAATTCAAATGGTGACAACTTTTCCACTGCTGAGGCTTATGTTCGTGAAATGGTCAATCCTACTGCCTACAGTAGTTATTGCGAATTGGTTGCAGCTGGAAATATTTTGCCATATTTATTTCAAATTTATTATAATAATAATCTTTATGCAAAATTTGGTGTAGATACATTCCCAGTAAAAAGATTGCGTCTAACTAGAAATATTATAAGCAAAAAAAATAATAATATAATAATATTATATTATAATATTATCAGCATTTGGATTATTAGAAGATGACAATCAGTGGGATTTTGCTTTAGAAGAAGCAGCATTATGTCGTTGACCTAATAAAATGCGAGAACTTTTCAGTGTAATATTAATATTTTACCATCCCTCAGATGCTTCAAGTCTTTGGACTAAGTATAAGGACGATTTAACAATACAGATTGATGTTATTTTGACATCAAAAAATGATACGGCAGGAGAAATAAACAATGTATTATTGGGTTCTTTTCAAGCCATAAAAAGTGGAATACAGATCGGTGAATTCGGTGATGGAAATAGATGATGCAGTTAATTATCCCGTAGAATTTCTAAATTCACTCAACCCTACTGGATTCCCACCATATTTATTAACATTAAAAATTGGTACTCCTATAATGCTCCTAAGAAATCTTATAAGTCCACCAAAATTGTGCAATAGGACTCATCTACGTATTACTGATCTTCAAAAATATCTGATAGAAGCTCAAATTATGACTGGATATGCAAAAGGTGAATCAGTTTTTATTCCTCGCATACCAATGATACCATTAGATTATCCATTCCAATTTAAGAGAATGCAGTTTCCTGTTAAAGTATGTTTTGCTATGACAATAAATAAATCACAAGGACAAACCTTGAAAATTACAGGGATCGATGTAAGAGAGGATTGTTTTTCACATGGACAATTTTATGTGGCATGCTCCAGAGTCAGTATGCCCTCAAATTTAGTTATTTTAGCACCAACAGGAAAAACAGCAAATGTAGTTTATAGAGAAATCTTGTAAAATTTGTAAATTTTGTTGTCATACATTATTATTCTTTATTATTTGATTAAGTTGCTTGATTAAGTGGTAGGTTTTTTAACGGGCTTCGAAGTGCACGGGATCAGCTAGTAATATATAATATAATAAATTGTTGTAATATTATAAATGGTTAGATTATACAGCGTGTAACTTGTAGACTATATAATTATTAGCAAACCAGCCAGAAGCGTAAATTTTAAATTGAAAATTGAGGAACTTCTATCATATTTGTTTAAACTTAAAAGGACGCCACACTCACGTGTGTTGTCTCCGTCTTACAAATGTACCACATAGCAAAAACTGTTTTGCGCGGTACAACTTTTATCTTTCTGTGTTTGTAGTAGTGGCTTCGATATTTCTGAACACATGGAGTAGAAAATTATCTATGCAACAGCTTGCCTATATTTTAGATAACATAAATACAATAAAAGTTATTTGCTTCTAAACATTTTGTTTTTTTGCTTTTTTTTTTCATTTTCTTATAAAAATGATTGGAAAGTGTAATTAAAAAAAAGCACACTGTTCCACAGATAAAGTTTTTCTTTACGTGTTGTGAAAATTTGGTAATTCTACAACTAATTGGTGTGAGTAAAGTTGTCCTGCGCAAAACAGTTTTTGCTATGTTGTACATTTGTAAAATGGTGACAGCACATGCGGGTGTGGCGTCCTCTTAAAAATCAAAATAATTTCTTAGGAGGAATGAGGGGGTTGCTAACATGTTGTCTCATTATTTGTAAATAACTAAACATTTTTTGAGTCAGCAAATTGATAGGGTTACACCATCCCCATGAATTATAGTTTTTAGGACGACCTTATTGTGTAAGCCCCCTCCATAGCTGTATTCGCCACTGATGTGTGTCTAGTTACCGTATTTTACTTTTTTCAATTAGTAAGCATAACAATAATGAAACATTAAATAAAGTGGAAAGTACTAAAACTAATACTACAAAACTAGTTTTGCTTAGAAATTTTACGCTTTGACATTCACATTTTGCAGAGGTGGGAAATTGAATGAAAATAAATAACTCAAGTTAAGTTCAGACAACATAAGATTGCTGCACAATAAATTAGAAATTAGCGGTTAGCAAATCATAAATTTAACTTGATAAGTTAAAAATTATGTTGTATAATATGCATGCGTTAGTATGTACATAGTACAGATAGGATATGTATAAGGCTCAATGTGTTGACTCAGGGTAAAACGAGTGTGACCGATTCGGTTCTCACGATGGTCTACGTGATCAAAGGGGCCGGGTCACCACATTCCAAAGGCCCCAGACGGGGCTACAACACGATTGCGCAAATTTTCCTTTTTTGACCCGACTAATTACACCACGATTGCGCAAAAAATTTGGAACACGATTGCGCCCCGATCCCTTTTTACCTGTTAAAATCACAACACCATTGCGCACCAAATGATATGTGTATATACTATA